CCTCCTCCCCCATAGGCCATCCCCCCCCCCCCCCCCCCCCTTTTGGCCACCAGCCACGATCACGGGCTTGGCCACGACCTGTTCCTTTTTTTGGCGAGCCTTTCCCCCCTTCCCTCTCCTTTTTCACCGCTTCATCAGCAAAGCCAGATCCGCAACGCACACGCAGCAACTCACAGACGTACACACAAACAAACACACACCTGTGCTTGCTTGCTTGGATGTGTTCCCCTTGTGTACATCATCCATTGCATCGGCTTGTGGCCATGGCTGGCGCAACGACAACAGGTCGGCCAATCAGGTTGTACTCAAGGTGCGTGTGGCCAAGACCGGGGCGGTCAAGTCGATGCCGTTCAACCCGAGTATGTCAACAGGCGAGGTCTGCCGCGAGATCCGCGATCGCGTGGGCGAGGGCGGGTCGGATCATGGCCTGTTCAAGGTCGGCGACGACTACTCTGTGGGCAAGTGGCTGGAGAACAACAAGACGCTCAACTACTACGAACTCCGGTCCGGCGACCTCGTGGAGTTCAAGAAGAAGCACCGGCCGCTGCGTGTGCAGACGGTGGATGGCGCAGTGAAGACGGTGCTTGTGGACGACTCGATGATTGTGTCGGACATGGTGGCGATCATTGCGGCGCGGGTGGGCATTGCCAACGCTGAGGAGTTTTCTCTCAAGAAGGTCGACTCGGCCGACAACGAGTGGCTCAACCCCGGGCAGACGCTCCGCGACCAGGGCCTGGAGGAGACGGATCCTGTGCTGCTTAAGCAGCGGTTCCACTACTCTGACCAGAACGTGGACACGTCGAACCCTGTGCAGCTCAACCTGCTGTATGAGCAGTCGCGCGAGGCCATTCTCACCGGCAAGTACCCGTGCACACAGGCTGAGGCCATCCAGTTTGCCTCGCTCCTCTGCCAGGTCACGCTCCACGACCACAACCCGGCCAAGCACAAGCCGGGCTCGCTGGATCTCAAGAACTACGTTCCCGGCGAGTATGTCAAGGCCAAGAAGATCGACAAGACCATTCTCTCGGAGCACCGCAAGCTCATCGGCATGTCGGAGCTCAACGCCAAGTTCCGGTTTGTCCAGCTCTGCCGCTCGCTCAAGACGTACGGTGTCACCTTTTTCCACGTCCGCGAGCAGGTGAGCCAGGGCAAGAAGAAGAAGAAGCTTGTGGATCGGCTGCTGGGCATCACCCGCGAGAAGATCATCCGGATGGACGCGCAGACCAAGGAGGTGGTCAAGTCGTACCCGCTTGCGCACCTTAAGCGGTGGGCGGCGTCGACCAACTCGTTTACCTTTGACTTTGGCGACTACGAGGGCTCCTACTACTCGGTGCAGACCTCCGAGGGCGAGGCAATGTCGCAGGTCATTTCGGGCTACATTGACATTATTCTCAAGAAGAAGAAGCAGGCCGGCCGGTACGTCGTCGACGACGACGAGGAGCAGACCGTGGTTGAGGAGGACATTTCTGCCATGAAGGCGCAGGCTATTTCGCGGACGCCGTCGAACATGCAGTACACGTCGGCTGTCAACCTCTCGCGGGCTGGCATGGTTCAGGGCGGTGCGTCTGGCTACCAGATGTCATCGGCCGGCGCCCAGTATGGGACTGCCCAGACGCCGCAGTCACAGAACGCGGCTGGCGGGTGGAAGGGCCAGTTTACCCGCGGCTCAGCCGGTGAGCTCGAGTCGTTTACCACCGGCAACGCCGCGGTGCTCAACGCGTCGGGCCTCGGTGGCCTGCTCAAGGACCTCGAGGGTGCATTTGCCTCGGTCAACGCCGCATGCAACGAGCTCGCCATCCCGGTGACCAAGTCGCCGATGGGCGACTCGGATGACCCGATGGCCCGGCAGTGGCGCCAGAAGGCCATGCAGGGCACCCGCCAGCAGCTCCGCCAGCACACCGACGGCCTCACCGTGGCCACCGCCCAGGTGGTCGGCTCGGCAGTCTGTGCCACGCCCGACCAGTTTGACCCGGACACGCTCGCGGCGTCGTGCAAGGCGCTCGGCAACCACATGGCCCAGCTGGCGACGTTGGCCCGGACTGCGGCCTCGCTCGTCGACGACGCCGAGTCGGGCCAGCTCATGGCGGCCTCGCGCCAGATGGGTGACGCGACCAAGCGACTGGTGGCGGCTGCCAACGGCGCCGCCGGTGGCCTCTCGCAGTCGATTGTCGACCCGAAGCTCCGCGAAGAGGTCCTCGCCTCGGCCAAGGACATCGGCAAGCTGGTGAACCAGTTGCTCGCGGCGTCGGGCGCGTCCGAGGTCGACGGCGCCGGACAGACCAAGATGTTTGAGCGGACGGCGGCAGTGGCGCAAGCCGCGACCAAGCTTGTCAACGACGCCAAGCAAGTCGCCAACGCGCAGTCGACCGACGAAGCGCGCAAGCTTGTCAACGGCGGCGCCAAGCACGCGTGGACCGCAACGTCGCAGCTGGTGGCGTGCGTCAAGGTCCTCGCCCCCACGGTGGCATCGGCCAAGTCGAAGCAGCAGCTCGAAAAGTCGGCGGCGCTTGTGCGTTCGGCCGTGGGCGGCATGATCGACAAGGCTGGCGCGGCCGGCGTCGACGCCCAGGACATGTCCAAGCTCAAGGTGGCGTGCCAGGGTGTGAACCAGGCGCTGCAGCAGCTGCTTGACGCGGCGCGGACCGTTGGCGACCGCCCGGACTTTACCGCGCAGTACGCCAAGGCCGCGGCAGTCATCTCGGCCGCCTCGCGCAAGCTCGTCAACGCCAACGGCAACCCACAGGAGATCATTGCCGGTGCCAAGGCGGTTGGCCAGGGCTCGGCGGTCATGATCAAGTTCGGCAAGGCCGAGGCCGGCCACGAGACCGACCCGGGTGTGCAGAAGGCGCTCGTCGACGCCACCCGCCGGCTCGCCGACGCCACGTCGGCGCTCATGCGGTCGGCCAAGGCTGCGGCGTCGAACCCGTCCGACGGCGCGGCGCAGGACCAGCTTGCCAACGACGCTCGCGAGCTGGACATCCAGGCGCAGGACATGCTCGCCAACTCGCAGCAGCGGCTTGCTATGCGCAACCTCGCCGAGGCGACGCAGGAGGCCATCTCCAAGACCGCTGCGCTCATCCAGGCGTCCAAGCCTGCGGCGTCGGCCAACTCGAACGCGGCCGCCGCCAACGGGCTCATCGACAGCGCGCGGCAGACGGCTGAGAAGGTGACCGGCCTCGTCAACGCGCTCAAGGCACACCAGGCCTCGCCGGACAACTCGACCATGCAGGGCAAGCTGGTGACGGCGGCCAAGGTGTCGTGCCCGGCGGTCGCCGGCCTTGTCAACGCTTCCAAGCAGGCCGCGCCGTCGGTGACCGATCCCACGGCGCAGCAGAACCTGGCGTCGTCGGCCAAGGGCTGCGCCATGGCCATGCAGAAGCTGCTTGGCGCGCTGAAGGAGGCCAAGTCGCTGCAGGGCGGGCTCGAGTTTGACACTGCCATGGAGCAGTGCAACGCAGCCAAGGAGCAGATGAAGTCGACGGCCCAGCGGGCGTCGGCTGGCACCCTTGTCCCCGAGTTTGGCACCACGCCGCAGAGCTCGTACGAGAACTACATGGCCGCCCGCCGTGCGGTCCACAACAACCTCGACCAGCTCCTCAAGTCGTCGCAGGAGAAGGACCAGGAGACGGCGGCCATTGCCGCCAAGGACATCGGCTCGGCCATGCGTGGCGTCGGCGCCGCCGTCGAGGGCGTCGCCGCGACGTCGGACGACCCGACGCTCCCGGGCACCGTCACCGACGCCGGGCAGGACTTTGCCGACAAGGTCATTACGGCGCTTGCTGCCGCCAAGGCATGCGCCAACGATCCGGAGAACGACGCCAAGGTTGAGCAGCTGCTTCAGGCTGTGGCCACGGCCAAGGGCTCGTCCGAGGCCATGACCGCTGCCCTTCCGGGCCAGCGCGAGGTCGAGGCCGCCATGACCGCTGTGCGCGCCCACTGCGACCTTGCGCAGCTCCCTGCGCTGCAGGCCGGCGAGAGTCAGAAGACGTTCCAGGACTCGTTCCTCAAGGCTGCGCGCGCGCTCGCGCAGGCCTGCCAGGGCCTCTGCCGCTCGGTCGAGCGCGGGCCGGACGAGCTGGCCCAGGCCGCGAACGGGGTGGAGTCGACGACGGCGCGGGTTGTTGCCGCCGCCGGTGGCATGGCCGCAGCGACAGCTGATCCGGAGACCAAGCAGCAGATTGTCGACACTGTCGGCGAGCTCGGCGAGTCGATCCAGGACCTGCTCGAGGCGTCGCGCGGTGCGGCAGCGGACCCGAACAACGCCGAGTCCAAGTCTGCGATCAATGACTCGCACCTTGCAGTGACCGACACGCTCAACGAGCTCTCGTCGCTGTTCCAGGCTGCCGGTCCGGGCCAGAAGGAGTGCGACGAGGCTATGAAGGCCATCAAGAAGGCTGCTGCCCAGATCGAGGCAGCGGTGGTGCCGTCGTCGATGGCCGGCAAGTCGTACGGCCAGATCCAGGGCGAGCTCAAGGCTGCGGCCAAGGAGCTTGTGCGCGGGACGGGCCAGCTCATGCAGGCGGCCAAGAAGAACCCAGCGGCCATTCCGACGGCTGCGGATACGCTGACGGGCGCGGTGTCGACCATTACTGCCGGGTCGTCGGCGGTGGCGCAGGCTGTGGGCGACGGCGGCAAGGTCACCGTCGAGCGGTTCACCATTCCGCAGGAGGCGATCAAGGACTCGGTCAACGAGCTCCGCATGGCCAACGGCGAGCCGAAGAAGATCATCGGCGGGTGCACCGGCGTTGCCAAGTCGACGCAGGCCATCATTGCGGCGTCGAAGCTTGCCTCGCGCCAGGTCGACGACCCGGAGGCGAGCCAGCAGTTTATGGACCTCGCCAAGGCCATTGCCGGCGCGACAGCGGCGACGGTGGGCGCAGGCAAGGCTGTGGCGCGGTCGAACACGCCCGAGAACAACGCCGAGCTGCTTGCGCAGTCGAACGCGCTTCAGAACTCGGTGGCACAGGTGGTGGCGCTCGCCGAGGACCACCTCGACCACTCGCAGGTCTCGCCCGAGACCAAGCAGTTGCAGAAGGAGATTCTGGCCAACGGCAAGGAGGTTGCCGGCAACACCTCGCAGCTGCTCGGCGCGGCGAAGCTCACGGCCATGTCGCCACAGGATGTGCAGTGCAACCAAGACATGCTCGCGTGTGCCAAGAGCCTCTCGGACGCCATCTCGGACCTGCTGACGTCGATTGCCGGCGCGGCACCGGGCGCGCAGGAGTGCACCAACGCCATGGACGTGGCGCAGAACTGCATTTCTGAGCTCGACACGGCGGCCATGTCTGCGTCGGTCGAGGCGCTTGACCGCGAGGAGGGCCAGACGGCCGACGGGTGCTCGGCGGCGCTCGCGACGACGGCATCGGAGCTCTCGACGGCAGCATCGAAGCTTGCGGCCGCAGCCGCCAGCTCGCCGAACGAGATCGGGCCGGTTGCGTCATCGATTGCCATTTTGCTGCCAGACCTGACGTCGTCGACTGTCGGCCTCGCGGCGTGTACGGCGGATCCTGTCAAGCAGCAGGCGACTCTGGCGCGCGGCAAGGACGTGTCGGAGGCCATGTACGGCCTGCTGATGACGACCAAGGAAGTCGGTGGTGCCGCTGACGACATGGAGGGCCAGATGCGGATCGAGCAGAGCTCCAAGGACGTGTCGAACGCGCTTGCGGCGCTCATGGGCGATGTGTCGGGCGAGATGGCGAGCTCGCAGCAGGTCCAGCAGGCGCAGCTTGCGGCCAAGAACGCGAGCTCGGTGCTCAACGGGCCGTACGACACGTCGAAGGACTACCGCGCGTTCAACCAGGACATTGTGGACCAGGCGAGGACCATTGCCGGTGCCGTGTCGAAGCTCTCGACGACGGCCAAGATGAACCCGGATGGCGTGGGCGCGGCTGCGGAGAACATGGCGGCGTCGCTGTCGCCGATGATGGCGGCGGTGAACGGCGCGGCGCAGACAGCGCCGGACGAGGCGACAAAGAACATGCTCCTCGACACGGCGGAGAACCTCTGCTCCGAGTCTGCGGCGCTACTTGTCCGCGCCGGCGAGCTCTCGAAGGAGCCGACCTCGTTTACCAAGCAGCAGTCGGTCTCGTCGTCGGCGCGCGAGGTGAACATGAACGTAGCCAAGCTCATTTCGGCGACTAAGGCCAAGTCGTCGGCGGTCAAGGGCTGCGAGGCTGCCATTGAGAGCATCCAGGCCGCGGTCCACGACATGGACACGGCGGCCATGTTTGCGAGCATGGGCCAGCTGGAGCGCGAGGACGGCGGGCAGTTCTCCAAGTACCGCACCGAGCTCATGACCGAGTCCAAGGCGCTTGCGCAGGGCTCTGCCGGGCTCATCAACACGGCCAAGACGTCGTCGGCCTCGCTGGCGCCGGCTGCCGAGGACGCCGCCGGCAAGGTCAACGCCATTGTCGACGCGGCCAAGCACGCGGCGGCGACGGTGTTTGACCCGGAGCTGCAGCGGCAGCTCTTTGACTCGTGCCGGTCGGTGTGCAACTCGACGGCGTCGCTCATCGACGCCTCGCGGTCGGTCCACGACGCGCCGAACGACCAGGCCCTTGTTTCCACGCTCAACGCGTCGGGTAAGGAGTTTGCCGACAACGTCTCGGCCTTTGTTGCCAAGATCAAGGAGGTCGATGGCGAGAACGCCAAGGGCGTGACGGCGGCGACGACGGCGCTCGACGCCATCCGGAGCGCGGTGCCCGAGGTGACGTCTGCGTCGCCGCCGACGGTCGAGCCGTCGGTCGAGGCCATGGTCGACGCGTCCAAGAAGGTTGCTGCCGTCTCGGCGCAGGTGGTCTCGGCCATGCGATCGTCGCCCGAAGCGCTTGCCGTGGCCGCCACAGCGGCACAGGACGCGACGCTCGAGCTGCTGGTGCAAGGCAAGGCGGCGTCGACCGACGGCGACGCCGACGCGCAGGAGCCGACGCGGACTGCGGTGGTCAACGCCGCCAACGCCATTGCCGGCGTGCTCGACGTGGTGGTGGCAGCCGGCGGTAACTCGACGTCGCCTGCGGTGGGCGAGGAGCTCGCGGCGGCGGCGCGCGGCGTGGCCGACGCGGTGGCCGACGTGGTGGAGAAGGCGCGCGAGCTGCGCGCCGACTTTGTCGACATGAGCGATCCGAACATGGTGGCGGAGAAGTCGCTGCTCGACGCTGCGGCGTCGATCGAGGCTGCCGCGCAGAAGCTGGCCACGCTTGTTCCACGCCCGCCGGTCAACATGCCGGACATGGACATGGCGTTCGAGGAGTCGATCCTCGAGGCGGCCAAGGCCATTGCCGCCGCCGTCGCCGCGTTGGTCAAGGCCGCGACCGAGGCGCAGCGCGAGATTGTGGCAAACGGCAAGGCTGCTGCCGGTGGCAAGGTCTACCACGCCGACGCAGTGTGGCAGGAGGGCCTCGTCTCGGCGGCCCACGCCGTCGCTGCCGCCACCTCGGAAATGTGCCAGGCGGCCAACGACGCGGCCCAGGGCGAGGGCTCGGAAGTCTCGATCGTGGCGGCGTCAGAGGCCGTCTCGTCGACGACTGCCCACCTTGTCGCCGCCGCGCGCGCCAAGATGGATCCCAACTCGCGGAACCAGGCCCGGCTCGAGGACGCCTCGCGTGCCGTCCGCCAGGCCACCTCGTCGCTCGCCGAGTCGGCCAAGATGTACGGCGACAAGATGGCCGAGATGGAGTCTGCCAACGCCATGATGGCCGTCGACAGCAACTCGTCGGCCGTCGCCCGCATGCGCCAGGAGCGTGAGGCCCGTGAGCGTGTCCTCCGGCTCGAGCGCGAGCTCGAGGCTGCCCGCCGCGCCGCCACCGAGCAGAACCGCTCGCGCTACACCGAGGGATCAAGCTCGGCTGCGCCCGCCCCGGCGGCCAAGCCCAAGCCCGCGCTCGCGGCCAAGCCCAAGCCTGCGCCCGCCGCCAAGCCCAAGCCCGCCGCCGCCGCCCCAGCGGCGTCCAGCGGCGGTGCTGCCGGTACCACCTACTCTCTCGCTGAGCTGCAGAGCGCCACCCTGCCGCCTGGTGTCGACCCGGCGCGCAAGCAGGACTGGCTCTCGGACGCCGACTTCCAGACCGCGTTTGGCATGGACCGCGCTGCCTTTGCCGCCCTCCCTGCATGGAAGGCCGAGACGCTCCGGCGCAAGGCCAAGCTCTTTTAACTCTTAACGGTACGGTCGTTCGGACGCGTTGTCGCGCGTCTCAAAGTGAACAACTTCCAGGTCACCGGCCGACGCTGCGCGACGCCTGCCTGGCCTGCGGCTTGAGGTGGGAGCAGAGGTTGTAGAGGAGGGTAACGTACTCGCCGTCGATAAAGGTCGCCAGGTTTGCTATGTATGGCTGGACGAAGGCGTTGTAGACCACAGCGCGCGGGACAAAACCGAGCGAGACGACCTTGGACGTCGAGAGATGGCCGTCGAGCGCCGCCGCGTCGGCGTCAGCAGCAGCCACGTTGCGGGCGCACTCGACGGCGGCGCGCGCGAGGTGCGGGACGTCAAACAGGCCACTACACTTGCTGTGGCTTGCGAGAGCGGCGACGGCGACGCGGCGCGACAGAGGCGGAGGCGGTCGTGCCGGATTGAACCGAGCGGCGGCGGCGGCGCGGCCGGGACGGCTGGCGGGTCGAGGCCGCGGTGTGGTCGTACGAGTCATCGTCGAGGCTGGACGAGTCGTCGTCGTCGCCTTCGTAGATGTACTCGTCCGAGGAAATGTCGGTCTCGCGCAGATCAGACGAGGAGTGCATATCGGCGGGAAGCTTGGGACGGCGAACGCGCTTCTTGAGCATGACCTTTTGCGGAGCAGCGACGGGGAGGATGCCGGTCGGAATGTGGATGGAGGAGCCATCAACGGAGAGGATCGAGGTGGCAGGCTTAATGACCTCCTCAGAGTACTCGATGTACTCGTACTCGGACTCCTCGCGGGCCTTGCGACGAGCAAGGCAGAGGCCGATGATGATACACAGGCAGCAGAGGGCGGCGAGGACGGCAAACATCCACAGCGGGAGGATGGTGTCGGTGGTGGGCGGCGGTGGCGGCGGGACGACCGAGCCGGTCTCATCGGGCACATACGTAAATTGGACCGCTGACGAGCCCGAGCCGCCCGAGGTTGTGGTGACGACGACGTCGTAGGCGCCGGCCGAGCCCTCGCCGAGCGTGCAGTTGAGGGCGGAGACCGGCGAGCCGAGGACCGAGGTGACGCGGCACTCTGCCGAGCCGACGCGGACGACAAGGATATCGGCGAGCGAGGTGCCAAGCGAGGTACCCTCGACAAGGAGCTGGGTGCCCGGCGGACCCGACGAGGGAGTGACGCTGGTGACGGCCGGCGGAGCGACGACACGGTAGGATATGGTCGACGCGGCGGTGCCGCCGTTGCGGGTGGTGACCGTCACCGCAAACACGCCGGTGGTGGCAAATGCGCCTGTGGTGCAAGTGACCTCGGTCGATGACTGCGCGGTGACAGTGCAGGCGACCGAGGCGATGGTGACCGAGACGGTGGGATTGTCGACAATGTCAGCTGGCGCGGCGCCCGGCAGCGAGGCGATGGACACGCCCGAGCCGCCGAGCCAGGTCCCGGTGAGCGTGAGCGAGTCGCCGCCTGCCTGGGGGCCCGAGGTCTTGGAGAGTGAGGTGACGGCCGGTGGCGGGAGGGCGACTAGGTGCGCGCCGTTTGCGGCTGACGCGCCACCCGACGCTGAGGTGACAATGACCGCGTGCTTGGCAGCGGTGAGGACCGGGACAGCGCAGGTGATTGAAGTCGCCGAGTGGAAGGTGACCGAGGTACACGCCACGCCGCCAACGGTGATCGAAACAAGGTCGGCGGCGTTGAGGGCCAGGAAGTCGAGCCCGGCGCGGGCGGTGACGTTGACGGTTGGTGTGGTGCCGGCGGTGACAACCGCATCGAGGTCGGACGGGTCGACGACGGCAAAGATGGCCGGCTGAGGAACTGCCTCAAAGGTGACCAAGCCCGAGACGGGCGGGAGACCGGCACTTGCGGAGAGCGCGACAACGTATGCGTCGGCAGTGAAGATGGTGGATGGAATCGGGCCGGTGACGGTGCAGGTTGCCGAGGTGACCGGCGTGCCGATGGCGGATGCGATCGGGCACGGGTACGCCACCTTTGTGCGGTGTGGACGAGCTTGAACTCGGCCATGTCACCGGCGGCGGCGGCGAGTGAGCCAGTGATGGTGAGGACGTGCCCGCCGGTGGCGAGCGTGGCCTCGGGCGCAACGGTGGCGATGCGAGGGCCGACGTCGTAGCTAAAAACGACCGATGAGCTTGGCGAGCCGCCGTAGATGACGGCTTTGGCGCCGGCAGCATCGATGCCCAGCAGCGAAAGTTCCTGCGGCGGCGGGAGTGAGCCGCCGGCAGGCGTCACCGAGTACCAGGTCGGGGTGCCGGAGGCGTCGTCGATGTGCAGAGAGTGGAGCTCGTCGACAAGGGTGTTGCCCGAGTTTCCGGCAAAGACCAGCATGATGCGCTTGCCCAGCGCCGAGAGACCGCCGAGCGGGGCGACCATCATCGACCGCTTGGCCGATGGTGGGGTGCCGGCAGTGGTGAGGGCAGACCAGGTCCAGGTGGCAACGTCGAGCACGTTGGTGGTGGCCACGTCGCCGGTGGTGAACTTTTGGTAGTGGCCGCCAAAGACAGCGAGTGAGGAGCCCCACGAGACAACGCCGGCGTTGTCTCTGCAGTCCGGGCGGTTGGGCTCGGTGCCTGTAGTGGGCACCAGAGCCCAGCTGCCGTCCTCGGCGTTGTACGCGCTGCCGATGGTGTACACGTCGAGGCTCGACAACTCTGCATCAAAGATGACGACCAGCTTTGTCGTCCCGCCGTCGTCGATGGCGACCATGGCGTGATCGGCGACCGGCGCGCCGCGCGAGGGAATGGCCGACCAGGCCGATGCGGCAAACTGGTACCACGAGGAAGCCGAGACGGAGAAGGCCCAAAAATCATCGAGTGTGGCAGCCGACTCGCCACGGCCACCCAGAAGATAGAGCACCACATCCGAGCCAATGTTGACAGCAGCAAGAGCACACGCCTGTCGAGGCACCGGAGAGGCGGCCGTGGCCAGAGTGTGGTTCGTCCATACGCCCGTGCTAATTTCCAGCGATAAAACATCCGAGGCAAAAGGCGGCGCAACCGAACCGGTCAGCGATCCTCCCACCATGTACATGACGCCATTGAGTGTGGCTGAGCATCCGCCAAGTCGTCCTGTCGCCGGAGGACTTCCTCCCATGGTTGCCAGCGGTGTCGATGTAAAGACGCCAGCTGTTCTTTGGCCGACACACAATGTTGCTCCCAAGCTCATCACGACCAAGACCACCATGACTCCCGTTGTCATCCTCGCCGGCATCGTAGGCATGGTAGCGGGGAGTAGGGGGGGGAGAGGGGACGGGGGGAGGGTGGCGTGGGCGTGGGGGGGGAGGAGAGGGCGGTGACGACGGGTGGCGTGGAGAACGGAGTACGGGGGAACAGCGGAAGTAACAAGGAAGGGGGCGGGACAGATGCAAGCGTTTGTGGCGGGTGGGGGGTGGTAT